ACATGTCCGCCTGGTCTTACAAAGACTCCTAGAGAATAAACTTTTCGTCAAAGCCAAAAAATGCGAGTTTCACCAACCTTCAGTCACCTTTTTGGGGTTTGTGCTCGAGGGCGGACAGGTTAAGCCATCTGAGGATAAGATAAAGGCAGTTTTGGAGTGGCCGGTTCCCGAAAACCGCAAACAGCTGCAGAGATTCTGGGTTTTGCTAACTTATATCGACGATTCATCAGGAATTATAGTCAGACAGCTCAACCTCTAACCTCTCTTACTTCAGTCAAGAGAACCTTCCAATGGTCCCCCGAGGCACAAACTGCTTTTGACAAACTAAAGATGTTGTTTTCCAGAGCTCCAGTGTTAATCCAGCCTGATTCATCAAAACAATTCATCCTCGAAGTCGACGCTTCCGACTCAGGAGTTGGTGCTGTCTTATCTCAGAGACTCGATTCAGACCAAAGAGTTCACCCATGTGCTTTCTTCTCCCGTAGACTTTCCTCTGCTGAGCAAAATTACGACGTTGGTGACCGCGAACTACTGGCCATCAAATTGGCATTAGAGGAGTGGAGACATTGGCTTGAGGGGGCAGAACACCCGGTTCTTGTTTGGACAGATCATAAGAACCTTGCCTATATCCAATCCGCCAAACAGGCCAATCCTCGACAGTCAAGGTGGTCACTATTTTTCTCTCGATTCAATCTCATCATCTCTTACAGACCCGGATCCAAGAACATCAAACCCGATTCTCTCTCTCGTCTTTATTCCACTGATCAATCCGAGACGCCTGAGCCTGTTCTACCCGCTTCCTGCACTGTTGGGGTGGTTACCTGGGAGATCACCGATCTAATAAACTCTGCCCTGGCTTCAGAACCTGACCCAGGTAACGGTCCCCCAAACAAGTCTTATGTTCCTTCTTCAGTCAGGTCTTGCCTAATTCAGTGGATGCACAATGCCAAATTTGCCGCTCATCCGGGGGTGAGTAGAACCATCAACCTCATTTCAAGACGTTTCTGGTGGCCCACCCTGCACAGAGATGTTAAGGAGTATGTGCTGGCCTGTTCTACCTGCGCCAGAAATAAGTCCACACATCAACCTCCTTCTGGCCTGTTGCATCCACTTCCTATTCCTTCTCGTCCCTGGTCTCACATCGCAATTGACTTCGTTACTGGTCTTCCCATTTCTTGAGGTATGTCCACAATTCTCACCATTGTTGACCGATTTTCCAAGTCCTGCCATCTTGTACCCCTCAGGAAGCTTCCTACAGCTTTTCAGACCGCCCAGCTCCTTATAAAACACGTTTTCCGTCTACATGGCATCCCTCAGGAGATTCTTTCCGACCGTGGACCACAATTCATCTCTCAGGTTTGGAAGGCTTTTTGCTCAGCCCTTAACTGCAAATCATCTCTCACCTCAGATTATCACCCACAGTCCAATGGCCAAACGGAAAGAATGAATCAACAGCTCGAATCCTCCCTTCGTTGTCTGACCTCCAGTAATCCCACCGACTGGAGCCAACTCCTCCCATGGATCGAATATGCTCACAACTCTCTAAAGTCAGCTTCCACCGGCCAGTCACCTTTCCAGGTCAGTCTTGGTTACCAACCTCCACTTTTCCCCGCAGACGAGAGAGAGATTTCGGTCAAATCAGTCAACCACCACATCCGCCGCAGTCATCGCATCTGGAGAGACACCATAGCCACCCTCAACCGTTCCATGGAAACCACTAAACGTTTCGCCGACTCTAAAAGACGCCCTGCTCCAGTTTACTCCGTCGGTCAGGAGGTATGGCTCTCCACTCGGGACATTCCCCTCAAGGGGATGTCCCGTAAACTCTCTCCCAGATTCATTGGCCCCTACAGGATTTCCCAGGTCATTAACCCATCAGCCATCCGACTGCAACTTCCTCCGACTCTTCGCATTCATCCCACATTCCACGTCTCACAGATCAAGCCTGTGATCTCCAGCTCTTTGTGCCCTCCGTCCGACTCCCCTCCACCCGCCCTGGAAGTCGATGGACATCCGGCTTTCACCGTCCGCCGGATCGTGGACTCCCGTCGGCGAGGTCGTGGCTGGCAGTACCTCATCGACTGGGAGGGCTACGGTCCGGAGGATCGCCAGTGGGTTCCTGGTTCCTACATCCTCGACCCGTCCCTCATCGAGGAGTACGAGCGATCCCTCCCATCGACGTCTTCTGGACCGCTAAGAGGCGGTCGTTGAGGGGGGGGTACTGTTGGGATCTGGAGCTGTACCACCTGCCTCCAGCAGAGTTTGCTGTGGATCCTCCTGAGCTGAGCCTTCGACACACCTGAAGCCCATCTCGTCATCAGGAGGATCCTCCACCATATAAGCAGCCCTCAGACCTCGCATCAACGCCGCAGTGTTTATCCAGTTTGGTTAGCACCTGAGCCTCACTACCTCTGTGAATTCTTTGTTGTTTCTAGTCTCCTAGTTGGATTCTAATTGCCTTTTTGTCTCTGCCTACAGGAAACCTGTTTTTGTCCTGTAAGCTCTGGATGAGCTTAACCTGTCGAGCCTGCCCTCTGAGCCAAACCTGAAGACCCTTCTCTGGATTCCCATGCTGCTCTGGACTAAGAGCTGGAAAACCAAGGTCTGTCCAAATGTTAGATGCAAGATGCTGAAGCTGAAACTGAACTCTGCTGAATCAAACAGTCTCTGGACCCAACAGTGCCTCTCTCAAAGCCAAACCCGGATTCTTCAAGGTAGATCTCAGAAGATAACATCTCCACATTCTTCTGCTACGTGGCTAACTGAACTGTCTCCCTTTCAATATCCTGTGAACCAGATCCCCAGACGTGAACCAGTACCTGACTCTTTTCTTGTGCAATTTTCAATAAACTCTTTTGAACCTTTTCCCTGTTCCCCGTGGTGTTCTGCATATTGGGCCTCTCTGAACCAATCATGACACAAACAAGTTATTGTTGTTTTTTGCTGTTATTTTGTTTTTGTGAATATTGGTGGAAAAACAAAAACATAAGCATTTCAGTAGGATTTTTTTCCAACAACCTATCATCACCTAAATGGAGATAATAGCCATTCATCTTGCTCTCTTTAAAACATTTTTCTTTTAATTGGTTCGGAATATTAGTTTCCCTTAAAGGCCCCATATTATTCTATTTTTTATTTGAAAATAAAAGGAAATATTAACAAGTTCATGGTTTTGCCATTTGTGCAGAAAATTCCTCTCAGCTTAGGTGGATAGCCTTTACCACCAAGCTCTTTATTCAGACCTCCTCTGGAAGAGGTGTTTCGGCTTTCCACTCCAATGTCCTCCCGAAGGCTGCACCCCCACAACCTGCAACCATGACAACCAGTCAGAGTTCATAAAAATATCGTAAAAGTGGGGAAAAAAGAAGTTAGATGAAGGCTGGAGCTTGACTGATGGGCTACTAACGACAGCTATGGAGACCCCTTTTTACCAGTATGACATAATAAAGGGCATGATGTTCAGACAGAGCATTTTGAGCACACATTAGCAAAGAGGTGGAGAAGAACAGTGAGAGAAGCAAAGTTTTTTTTTCTTTTTATTTGTTAACCTCAGACACAGGCTTCTGGGCATGTATGACTATTACTTAAAATGTTTATAATGTGAAATTTGCATAATATGGGACCTCTAATTGTGCGTTCAGGCCGGAAATGGTGTCCAAGGCGAATGCAGTTGAATCACATAGAATTCCTATGCAAACCATTGCTCTGCTCTCGCCTCATGACACTAGATAGAGCTTAGGTGTTGTCAAACAGCAGCACTGCATGGAGAGAGAGGAGCAGTGATCTCTGAAGTTGAAACAAGCTGAACTTCTCAATGAAAACGCGACACAGCAGGGAATCAGGGCCTGGTTGTAGACGGAAATTTTTTTTCACTGAAAATGGAATATGGTTTTTGATTGTCTCCCCCAGGTGATTCAAAATCAGTTTATAGACATTAATTTAGCAGCTGCCCTTGATGTTAACTTTCACCTGTGCTTCTTTTGTGAAGTGTCAACAGCGAGACTCTGACAAGAAATGCTATGGGGTTGCCCGGGGTAACGGCATGTCCAAAGCGAAGGGTGTGGGAGGCTAGTGTATTACTAAATATGAAACAATTTTCAAGATTTAAAACCTTTATATTCTGAAACAATCGCAGCAGTAACATCTGCTGGGATGGCAACATAATCGTCCATAATTAAAAATTCTATCTTACAGATGTGCTTCAGTAGCTCAGTGGTTAGCGTGCACGACCCATGTGTAACCCATGTTAAAATCTAACATAAATAGGGATCTAACATAAATAGGGATCTAACATAAATAGGGATAAATAGTTGGTTAAAAGTCTGTAGACAGAAAATAACGTCGCTGTCCCTTTAAGAAACCAGCGTTACAGGTGCAGTGTCTGGGTGACGCTGCAGTACGCAGACCCGAAGGAGAGAGCAGAGGAGGAATCGGAGAAAAAAAGAGCGGTGATTAATTAACAGAAAAAAAGTTAATATTTTTGTAAAACAAAACATAATTTACCTGGTCGGGAACTGACGAGGATTTTATGAGAACTAAGCCATATCGGTTTTGGTGAGTTTTGTGTTTATTTTTCTGTATTTTCATCGTTTTGTAATTTTTCTGTTGGTGGAGAGTTATTAACTGTTATTCAGTTAATATATGAAGTTTATGAAGAAGAATTTATTGGTATAATTTGAATATTTAAAAAGAGTTTTATTGTGTTTTTGGCCTGTTACACAGGTCAGGTTTTTTGTTCGGTTGGAAGCTTGGTCGGAGTGAGGATTAGTCTGCCATGTGCGGCGTGCACATTCACAGACGGGATTCAAGATGGCGAGCCAGACCTAGACCTTCAATTCATCTTCTACATTGCATGAGGGAGGGACTTTCCCGCGTGTGGTAATCCCCTGCCAGGGCGGTAGGGATATCAGAAACTAGTTTGAACTGAACTGAACAGAAAATAACTGAAGACTGACTGAATTATTATTTTTTTTGGACTGAATCAAACTGATTCTTTTCGTCGAACTGAGTGCCTATATTTACATTTGGACTTGAACTTGAATTTAAAGTGCCATACTTTGATTTTCATATGTTTATTTTCTGAATGTGATTTGAGTAATTGTGGTCCACTTGATTTAAATGTGTTTGAAGGTATTTTGCAACCTGTAAAAGAAAGGAAAGGAGTTAACTCAGGAAAAATTTAAATCTTAAAATAGGTGCAACCTATGAAAAAGATACTGGTCTAATTAATCCAAATTAGTCTAATTAAAATAACCTAGGTCAGGGGTGCTCAAGTCCAGTCCTCAAAAGCTACTATCCTGCAACATTTTGTTGCACCCCATTTTTAACACACCTGAATCAAATGAGTGGCTCGTTATCATGCCTCTATTTGGCTAAATGAGGGGATTGAGCCTTTCAAGGTGTGTTAGAGAAGAGATTCATCTAAAAGTTACAGGATGGTAGCTCTTGAGGACTGGACTCGAGCACCCCTGACCTAGGTGAACTAAAGAGCAAAAAGAAAGAGTGATATATTCTTTTTTTTTCCTTCTCCCTTTTCCTCCCAATTTATACTTACCTCATTATTAAGAATCTGCAGAGTATTTTTGGTTTCATGTATTGTATTTTATGTGTGTTTTGCATTCATTAAATTGCCGGCCATTTTCACTTAAGCAGCGGTCTCTGGTGCTATTATTTTGCTCCCCACTCCTTAGAGCATAGAACTGGTCTAGTGGCGCAGTTAGTGGTGTGATACCGGTGCTACAACTTGGCGAGCCAGCCAGGAGTGGCTTAAAGCATTAAAACTAGAAACCAGAGACCATAAATAATATTGTTATCAGTGTTAAGGGAGGAGAAAGAAGGGAAAAAAAATGGATGTCGTTGAAACCAGCAGTGTAAAAATCCCTAATTCAGTCATAGTTAGCGGTATAACCGATACAGAAACAGATGACGAACTAAGTGACTTCCTGAAACAATGTGGTTCCATTCAAAGGGTAATTCCAGTAGTTCTCACTGAACCAGAGTCGGCCAAGCAGGTTATCGTAGAGTATGTGTATGGTATAGCTATGCAATCTCTCTTACCTTCACTGCCTTACAGACTTAACAGTAAAGCTAATACTGATGTCACTTACCACATCAGAGCATTAGCCAATGTTTACACACCTGTAGCTAGCAAAACAGCTACACAGACTTACCTTTCAGAGTTAAAGGACATTGCAAAACGGACTGGTAAAGACTTTGCAGCTGTCTTCAGAGAAGAGCTCTCCCTCATCGGTGAGACTGTCGATCTAGATCATTCAGAGCTCCAAGATGAAGATGCAGAGCTGAGCTCACCTGATACCCCAGAGCAACATGCCCCTGAAAATGCTGCACAAGTAAGCCCCCTGCCCAGCATGGCCCCGCAGCAGCATGAGCAGCATGTTAAACATCATTGGTCTCCACCATTGACACCATCTAAAGAAAAGACACAGCCCGCTTTGAAACTTTCTGACGTCAATCCACCTGACATACAAAGTTATTGTTGAGCACATAGTGAGAAATGAAGACTCTGCTCTGCAGGTGCACACTTCCTTGAGACTCAGACCCTTCTCTGGATGTGTCCCACGTCCCAACAGTGAAGTGGATTATGAGACATGGCGATCCAATGTGGAACTTCTTCTTAAAGACACATCACAGTCTGATATTTACAAGTCACGGAAGCTTCTTGAAAGTCTCTTATCACCCGCCATTGATATTGTGAAGCACCTGACACCGGATTCTCCTCTTAGTGCATACTTGGAGATCTTGGACTCTGCTTTCAGCACAGTCGAGGATGGAGATGACCTTTTTGCAAAGTATCTTAATACAATGCAGGATAATGGTGAGAAACCTTCAGCTTATCTACAACGGCTGCAGGTGATGCTGAGCACCACCCTCAGAAGGGGAGATGTAACTGCAAGCGACCTTGATCGGCATCTTCTCAGGCAGTTTGTAAGAGGCTGCTGGGATAACATCTTGATAGCTGAACTCCAGCTAGAACAAAAGAAGCAGAATCCACCTATCTTTGCTGAACTTCTCCTGTTACTCCGCACAGCAGAAGATAAACATTCTTCCAAAGCTTCACACATGAAACAGCACTTTAATATTTCAAAACCAAGAGTGTCCTCTCATTATCAAGGTGTTTATGTGCAGGGTGAAGAAGAGTGTAGCTCATTTCAGCCAGCTCCTGATGACAGGTTTGAAATCCAAGACTTAAAGAAACAACTAGCTGATCTACAGTCCCAGCTCACACGTATCACACAGAAAGACAGTAGAAAAGCTAAATCAGCCGCCAGACCACTAGCTCCCCAAACAGCTAACACACATTCCCCACCTATCACTCACACATCTCAAAGGCTGCAGACCCACAGCCGAGACACAAACATCAGCACAAGCAATAGACCAAAGCCCTGGTATTGCTTTAGATGTGGAGAGGATGGGCACATTAAGCCTCAATGTGAGAGTGAGCCGAATCCATCTCTTGTGGCTGAGAAGAGGAAGCAGTTAAAGGAAAAGCAGTTAGCATGGGACAGTCAACATGGAGCTTCAAAGCCTGATCCTTTAAACTAGATCCAGTTCCGGTTGTGGGACAAACGGGAACTGGAACACAGGCAAAGTGTCCCAAAAAGAAGATGCACAGAGCCCATGTGTACTCGCATACACAAAGACAGTCAGTGACTTTGCCAAAAGGTCTGATTGGGGCCAAGTGCACCGCACAAGTTATCATAGCTGACAAAGACTGTCGTTGCTTGTTGGATTCAGGCTCCCAAGTAACAACGGTCCCCAACTCTTTCTATCTAGAGAACCTGTCTAACTTGCCTCTCAACTCCTTGAACGACTTGCTTGAAGTGGAAGGAGCCAACGGTCAAAGCGTCCCTTACCTTGGCTATGTTGAGGCCACCATCAGATTCCCTAAGAGCTTGCTTGGAGTCGACATCTAAGTACCTACACTGGTCTTGGTTGTACCTGACATGCGCTCCACGTTGTCATCAGTGCTTATAGGCACAAATACTTTGGATGTTCTCTATGAGAAGTATGCAGAGATTGTACCTCAGAACTTTGAGTCTCTTCCTTATGGCTACAAAGTTGTCTTAAAGACCCTTGAAATCTGTAAAAAACAGTCTTTTGAGTCTAACCTGGGAGAGGTGAGGCTTCATAGTAGAGACTTTGAGACCATTTCAGCTGGACAGATTAAAGTCCTTCAAGGATCAGTGAGCTGCAGAATATCTGATGTTGGAAAGTGGGTGATGGTAGAGTCACCAAAGTCATCATCCCTGCCTGGTGGCATCCTGGTGACAGATAGCCTGGTAAGTCTACCACCAAAGCCATCATGCTGCATACCAGTCACGCTCAAAAACGAATCAGAGCATGACATCACCCTGTCCCCAAAGGCTGTGATAGCAGAGATACACGCTGTCAGAAGTGTTCGACCTGTTAAGACCCCTGACTCAGATTCTCCTGCAAAACCTGACCAAAAACCAAATCTCGACTTTGACTTTACTGATTCTCCTATACCCAACGAGTGGAAAGAGAGGATAACAGAGAAATTGAACTCCATGCCGGAGGTGTTTGCAATGCACGAGCTTGACTTTGGCCGCACTGACAAAATCAGACACCATATAACTCTCAGTGATGAGACACCATTCAAACATAGGCCAAGACCTATACATCCGCAGGACATAGAGGCTGTGCGTACCCATCTCCAGCAACTCCTCGATGCAGAAGTCATCCGTGAATCAGAGTCACCTTTTTCCTCGCCGATCGTAGTCGTCGGGAAAAAGGATGGCAGTGTCAGACTCTGCATAGATTACAGAAAATTGAACACACAAACAGTAAAGGATTCATATGCCTTACCAAATCTGAAAGAGTCCTTCTCAGCATTGACCGGGTCCAAGTGGTTCTCGGTGCTCGATCTCAAATCAGGCTTCTATCAAATAGAGATGGAGGAAGCAGACAAACACAAAACTGCATTCGTCTGCCCTCTAGGATTCTTTGAATTCAACAGGATGCCTCAGGGGATAACCAACGCCCCTAGCACGTTCCAGAGACTTATGGAGCGTTGTATGGGAGAGTTGAACTTGAAGCAAGCCCTAGTTTTTCTGGATGACCTCATCATCTTCTCCTCTACATTGGAGGAGCATGAGGAAAGGTTGATGAACGTGCTCAACCGATTGAAAGAGTTTGGCTTGAAACTGTCACCAGGGAAAAATAAGTTCTACCAAACTTCTGTAAAGTACCTTGGCCACATTGTGTCTGAAAAAGGCATTGAGACCGATCCTGACAAAGTAGCAGCATTAAAAATCTGGCCAAAACCAAACAACTTGAAGGAACTAAGAACCTTCCTGGGTTTCTGCGGTTACTACCGCCGGTTCATTAAAGACTACTCAAAGATTGTGAAACCACTAAACGAGCTCACTGCTGGCTATCCACCGCTAAGTAAGCACGCTAAAACCACAGCGAACTCTGAGAAGTATTTCAATCCAAAGGACGACTTTGGTAATAGATGGATGCTTGCTTGCCAAACAGCATTCAACACTATAATAGAAAAGCTGACAACCGCTCCCATCCTTGGGTTTGCTGACCCCAAGCTCTCCTACATTTTACATACAGATGTAAGCACTTTGGGCCTCGGTGCTGCTCTCTACCAGGAGCAACAGGGACAGAAGCATGTTATTGCTTATGCAAGCCGAGGTCTGTCGAAGTGTGAGTCCAGGTATCCTGCTCACAAGTTAGAATTTCTTGCCCTTAAGTGGGCAGTAACAGAGAACTTTCAGGATTACCTGTACGGTAACACATTCCTTGCTGTCACAGATAGTAACCCATTAACATACATTCTTACCTCAGCTAAGCTTGATGCCACGAGCTACAGATGGTTGGCCGCTCTGTCGACGTTCGATTTCCAGCTACAGTACAGAGCCGGTAAGCAGAATCAGGACGCGGACGGACTGTCCAGACGCCCTCATGGCAGAGTAGCTGATGACACATCATCACAAAAAGAGTTAGAGAGGATACAACAATTCACAAAAAGACACATGTCAGAAGATTATGCACACTTGAATGACAGCACCATCAAAGCCATCTGTGAGAAGCACATGGTCCACGAAGCGATCAACAATCACCCTGGGGAAACGTCAACCAGCACCATCATGGTTGTGTCACTTGCCCACCACCCAAAGGCTCACCCTCAAAGCTTTGAAGAGGAGGATCAGCTTGGTGGTCTACCTGTCATCCCCCCTCTAACATCAGCTGAACTAAGAGACAAACAAAATGCTGATCCCTGCGTTGGTGAAGTCCTTAGGCTATTGGAGTCTGGAGAGACACCCCCACCATCCTTAAGGAAATAACTTCCTGAGCTTGGTCTCTTATTGAGGGAGTGGAACAAACTGGAGGTCTCAAATGGTGTTTTGTATCGCAGGCGACAAGAGGGTGCTCAGACTCACTACCAGATTGTACTCCCTGAAGCCCTGAGATTCGTAGTCCTAAAGAGCCTCCGCGACGACATGGGCCATATGGGCACAGAGCGCATGCTAGATCTTGTCCGGAAGCGATTCTATTGGCCCAAAATGTCAACCGAGGTGGAAAATAAAGTCAGAACCTGCAACCGTTGCATACGACGTAAGACCCTGCCCGATAAAGCTGCTCCACTCATCAACAT